AGCTAAAGGGGGATGAAATGAAATTTGATTTTTTGATTCTGGAGAAAACCACCTTTGGAATTTCTTCAGTCTCTCTTACCCTCCCAAATTCCCCGACTTCTATAAATTGATGGAAAATAGATTACTTTTAAAAATAGCACAAATTTCTTAAAACAATCAAAATGTTACTTATCAATCATTATTTGGTTAAGAGTTATACTGTCAACCCAAAGGCACACAGGTCAAATCCACCAGCTAATCCACAGGAGAAAGATAGGAATCTCCTCCTATACAATTTACTGCCTCTGGAAACCTTCTGGAGGGTCAGTTATGGTTTGGTTCTGACTCAATAGTACACAATAACAACAACAGCAACATATTCATGAATCGAGCAAGGTGACACAGTGGTTAGAGCTGCCTGTTTCCATAAAGACTTAAAGCCTTGGAAAATATTTACAGCCTGTTGAGTTGCTGTGAGTCAGAATCAACTTAATGGCCCTGAGTTTGGTTTGGGGGTATATTTATGCCTAGGAGAATAACATGTGATATGTGTTTGAGGGGGGGAAAAGGCTGAATATAATTTTTTAAATGGTAATTTAGAATAGTATGATATGTAGACGGATCATTTGTTCTATCATGGTAGTTGACTAGATAATACAAACCTATAATCAGCAGTCTCACAGTAACCTTTAAAAATTCTTTTTCTAAATTACATAGAATAATGGATATTTTTAGAAAGCTGACTACAGGGTTATTCCATAGCATAATTCAAAATATCAAAACGTTGCCTTTAAACTAGTAGTGCCAAAGAAATAAATTAAAATTAACTTTCAGCCTTTGAATGAACTGGACTATAGTTTTAAAAAATGCCACTAAAAATTCAACCATTAATAGAATTTTAAAATAGCTCAACCATTGTCCGTAATTACGGGGAATAAATTTTGTTCACATCTAGTTAGCATTTTGTTTCCCACAAAAGATGAGATGAGGAGACCCATAACCAAGGTGTACTCTCTTGGTAGGGCTAATTCATTATGACATAATCTCACCTAATTGTGCACAGAACTTTTTTTTTTTAAGTACCCATTTTTCTCTTCTCCATGAAAGCCAAGTGGAATTTGGCAATCAGATTTGGAGACTATCAATCTGTTTGTCTCTGTGGCTAAGTATCTTCACACTAAAGCATCCTGAGGCATGGTGAATGCAGGAGATGGCAAAAGGGGGAAAGAAATAGGTAATATGTTAAGAGAAGAAGTATGCAGAAGTTCACCTGCTGTTGTCACGATCAAGACATGGAGAGGCGCGGCTGCAACAGAATAGATACTTTAGCACAGAGAAGGAATGGATAAAGTGAAATATAAAGAAAGAAATCAGAAGTGACTTTTAACTGATAATTATTCATATACCAATATAGTATTTACTGGGAAAAAAAGATGGAAGTACAAATGAAATAAATACAGCTCTATGCAAATGCCGGGAGAAGGGCAAGGGCAAGGGAGCTTTGTGGAAAATCCCAATTTAGGTAGTGAGAATGTTACAAAAAAATCACAAGATACAATTTTATTGCCTTCTTTGACACTGTTTTGTGGGGGCACTTAACAAAGTCTAAGTGATCAGAAGCTCCAGAAACAGTAACACTATAAAGTTTCCAATGTGATGGGCAGAATTTTAGACACAAAAGCTTTTCATTTACACTTTTAAAAACTTTAAAAATAACAGTCATGCCCTTGTGGGCTTCCACAGAAGAAATGCAAACAGAAAAGACACAATTCAAAGTGTAGCTTCAATGACAAACAATAGCATAAACTATAAAGCAAAGTAACAAAAACAGTCTTAGTGTTTTTCTCCCAAAATTTTATCCTCTGCTGTGGGGACCACTGTTCCCCTCATGCATGGGTTGTATGCTCTAATCCTACGGACAATCGTCTTTTTAAACCTATATATCTCCTTTTTAAAACAGAACTGCCATCTAGGGTTTGCTTCCGGCTCAACGGTACACAATAACAACAGCGACATATTTATGCATTGGAGCGAAGTGACACAGTAGTTAAAGCTGCCTGCTTCCATAAAGATTTACAGCCTTGGAAAAGATTTACACATACAGTCCCTAAGAGGTGGACCTCATATAGATGGCAAATTGTCATTGGGACTCATAGGGCTTTGTGGCAGCTGATGATATATGTGTAATGAACCAGCAATCTATTCTTACTAAGTTGATTTGGCTGCTTATTATAGAAAGATTTTTCTTCATCCAAAAGAATTTACCTTCACATTCTTATGACAGATATTTGAAATATAACTAAATTACCTGCAATAGATGTTTACATAATAACTGATGCTATCACATGAGAAATGGCCTTTATTTCCTTGTACTTCAAATATCACTTTTCCTTATTTGAACTAATATTCTCACCATGTACTCTTGAAAGGGAGATCTTTTAAAAGATCATCTCATCAGGGTCTTTTGGTTATTATATCATCTTATACCACACTACGGTGAGCTGTCACTTAGATACTGGACTTAATTATCACAGGAACAGCTATCTGAAACTAGAAAATCGCAACAGCAAAAAAGTGTTTGGAATAACAATACGTAAAATGAATTCTAAAATTAGTAAATGAAAGGAATTCTGTTTTATATCTGTTAATCCACTATGCTTTTATGAAACGAAGAAGTGAAAACTTAAATTTTTTCCCAGGCCTACATTGATAAAATCATGGCTAGGGATGTAAGAAAGAAATGTCAGATTTAGTTTGAATCAATAAAGTCATGCCTTAAGGAGCAGAAAAAAAATATTGTCAGCCTTTCTTTTGCCATATATTTTGTTTATATTTTGGAAAACAGATTTCTTTTAAAATTGTCAATATCTATTCTCCTGTAATCACGAACATTAACCATTGAAAATGTAAAACAGAGGTAAAATAAAAACCACTCATACTACTTATTGGTAGAAATTTTATCTTCTTTCCCTTTATAGAATCAAATATATTATTATATATATATTACTTAATGGCACCTGCATAGAAAATGCTAACCTGTAATGCCTTCTATCAAAAATTCCATTTTTTACAGTGCTGAAAGTTGTGGTAGATTTTGAACAAATTGCTTAAGAATTCTCTCAGTTTAGAAAAAAACATAAAAACAATTACTCAATTCTTGGTATATGATGAAGAAAATAATAAGAACTTATATGCTACAATGAATATTCAAATGTATGAGTATCATAAAGTTTGTCAACATCATAAAACTTAAAATTGTACATCTTGTAAGACTTCACTGCTTGTATTAATATAATAGTGAGGCAATAATAGTTAACAAAATTAACTGATAAAAATAACATTATGACAAATATAGCCATTATGATCTATATCACATTGATATTGTCATTTAGAGGATTCAAAATATGTTTTTTTAACTAATTTGAAATTGTCAAGAAAGTGAGTAGGGATTAGTATCAGTCCTAATGACTATAATCTATTATTTACTTTTTTAACTTGAATCCTTAGAGCTCTCCTATGGCATCACTAATAGAACATTCATCTTACAGATAATTACAGAAACTTACAGGTTCTGTCTAATTTGCTCATAGCGTTAAGGCCAGCACCTGAAGTATTTTAACCTGCTGATTGTTCGAACCACCATCAGAATTCTGATTGGTCTCCCTTCTATGCATGTGCTCAGTCATGTTAATGTGTCTTCCACAGAAGAAACGTCATAAAGCCGTTATCCTTAGAGACTCGATCTCACTTATCTGTCACCTTTAGTGCATAGCACAATTCTAATGATTAGTAGGAACTTATAAATGTGTGAAGAACTAATACATAAATGAATGGAAAAGTAAAGAATATTTGAGAGAAATAGATATACATTAATTACCTAGCTATCACCAGTAATTAGAGCTTTATTAAGCAAAATCATTTCCTCCTAACAGGTTATTTGATATTAACTGTGCTAATATTAAGGTCCAATTATTACCAATGGAAAGTATGATGTCATTTTTCTGGGATTGTGTTTGGTATCAGTATTTTTTTTAAAGTTGCAAGTGATTTTAACATTCAGCCAAAGTTGAGAATTGCTCACTATCAGTGCTAATCTTTGAAATTTCAGGGGGAAAATAAGAAAAGTTTGTAACATAAAAATAATTCTGAGAAAACAGAAAAAAAACCACTTTGGGATAATTATTTAAAAGGGCACAATCTGTGTAGAGTTTTTCTATAAATATTTATATTTAAATATTTATTTATATTTAAATATTTAAAAGGGCACAATTTGTGTAGAGTTTTTTTAAAAAGTGATAACAATTATACATGAAATGTGAATTTCATGTATATTTATAATATTACTATATTATGTGAAACTACTAAACTATGAATAAGAAAGTAATTGTGAGATGCTACCATTTCAAATTCTATAGGGAATTTCTATTTCCTGTAACTGAATTCTTACACTGTAAATATGTTTAAAATTATTTAACTCAAAGCCTCACTTTATAACAAGTAAAAACATAGTATTCCTTACACAGCAACATATATAATCCCTGGATGATTGATTCAATTTAAATTTTTACTTCTTATTCATGTTTTTATTTCAAATTTGAATTCTGTAATTTTGTCTAAATCAAGTCTCCATTAAGTAAACACTGTTTTAAATAAACAACATCATAAAAAAGCCCAGAGAGTTAGTAAATAGAAACTTTCTCGAAAGCAAGTAATCTTGCCTATCTCTTCAGTGTCTTAAAGACATTACGTGCACAGTAAGAAGGCCACTGGCATATCTGGTTAGAAGCAAGCTGTGTGACGCATCAGTTCTACCAGTTATTTTTATACAATAGTTTTTCTGTGCTCAATTCAGCCCATTTTGCTAGTTAGTTTGTTTGAATGAAGCAATGTTATTTACAAGTTTAAACAAAGGTCGACTCTATTGCAGCTAGTCATCAGCTAAAACCACTGGACAAAGCTGTTATTTTCACACTCATCTCTTTTTACCTCTTGATCTGGATACATAATATTGATTTACTCACCCTGAATGAATAGGGCTGGAAGAAAGAGCCACGTTGTCTAAATTCTCAGTGCCCCAGCTTAGACGATAAGAATTCCTTTCTGCCTCCTTGGCTAGAGTTGACACCTAAAGACAATGAACACTAGATTTAATATAAAAAAAAAAGCTTCCTTTGCATTAAAGTGACACATAATGAAATCTAAAAAGTGGTACCTGGGAAAAACTTTCATTTAAAAATTTGACATAAGACCATTTAAACAGAATCCTTTGAAATGCATATCCACTTAAATATATATAAATTAATAATATAATAAATTATATTATTGATACACAAACACAGACATGATTATCTTTGAAAGGTGGATAATCATCTATTTTTGTAGTCAATTAACTCGAACTGATAAAATTATACTTAAAATGAAATATTCCAGACTTCTGTCTAAATCCTTTCTATACATTCAGAGTCTTAAATATTGGGAAATCTATTTGAGTAGATCTACTTTCTCCTTAGAGATTTCATAAAGGAACATATTTTTATAAGAATCTTCACTGAAGAGTTCAGTACAGTTGAAGAAATAAGTAGTCAATTAGTTCAGAAAAAGAGGAAGACCCTCAACCAGATGGACTGTCACAGTAAGTCTAACAGTGGGCTCAGGTCTATATTAGATAGGTCGAGATTCAGATCTGCTGTTTATAGGGTCTCTATGCGTTGTAATCAACTCCGTGGCATCTAACAAGAATGACAAGTTAGTTCAGATACATTCTGCTCAATGGAAAATCTAGTGAGAAATACTCATGTTTAAGGCAACTTCCAAATCTTTTATGCTAGTTTGTCAGCTGATTAAGAATTATTTTCTGTTTTAATTAATCATATTCTTGAGACTTTATTCCAGCATACTGTCGTGTTAAAAAGACTCTATACAAAACCAAGACAAGGAGGCAAAAGAAATCACATACCTGGTGGCTGGGGATCACAACGGTGTCGTCAATCATGGCACTGTCCCTCAGGTAGGAGGCATGGCTCAGGGTGTGTGACCTGTCGGAACTGAAGGATCGAAGGCTGGTAGGTGGGCAGGAGGCCATGGTGATACACCAGCAGCAGTGGCAGGGTTGGGAGGATGAAATGATGAGCCAAGCAGGAGAGTGAAAAAAGCGTGCTATTAGCTAACAGTGCAACTTCCAGGGGGACATAAATCGCAACCGTGGGAGAAGGAAACACAGATTTCTGTGTCATCCTACCTCTCTGTTCAACAGCTACACTGACACGACTTTTTACTGGTTCCTACCCCTCAATGGCAAGGGCACAAGGGAATCCAGAAGTTAAAATTTGATACTCCTAATCTGATTGATTCATTTTCTTCCCAGAAATGTTTGCAGCCAGCAACTGGAGCTTGCTTATTGCCAGCACAAGAAATCTACACAGGAAATAATTCCAGTGTAGATTGCTTAAATCTGTGTTAAATGTTAATCTTCCTGTAATTAAGCAAACTCTCAGGGCGAAAGTGGACTGCCCGCCAATAAAAGAACAAAATGAGAGGGCAGGTTTCATTTTCATTCCTTCTTTTCCATTTTCTCTCCATGGCTTTTTCTCCTCCTCTCCACACTGAATGGTTGAATGCTGGTGCATTCCCCTGGAAGATACAGAATGTGGTGAACTAGGGCCAGATACATGCTTCCTGCGGAAGTGGAGTTCTTCTTGTTTGTCTCTGGTGTCTCCCTCAATGGTATTATTTCAAAGGAGAGCACTGTTCCCTTGCATGTCCTGTGTGTGATGAGTGAAGAACCAAAGAATGCTGGTTGCTGGGGCAATGAGATGCAAGAGCATGAGAAACTGTTCCTAAGCACCATCCCAGAACACAGACACACCTGCCAGCAAATAAACAAACTGCCACCAGACAATGAAGGGGTGGGGAAAAAAGCTTTGGCTTCAAAATGAGGTTTAGGCCTTAATGATTAGTGCTTTAGATTTTCAACAAATCAGAAGTTTAAAGTCTCATATATAGACTCAAACGTGATGGCAAAATTTGACATTGTATCTCATAGGTAGAACTTCATTCTTTGTCATTTTTCATAATCACATGACATACAGACTGATACCTTAAATAAACTATTATTTATTCTCATTAGCCCAAGAATGGAAGATTTCTAGTCAAAATATTAGCCCAAAGCCCATAAGGAACAGAACAAAAGAACAATATGATAAGAGGTATGCAAGGCCACAATGTTGGCAAAAGCAAGCTTTTTTACTTTCAGTTAATAGGTATTTGGCCACTGGAGCTCTGTAGAATTATGGAATAAATGCCAGTTTAGAGTATTTTTTTTTTAATAGAAGCTACTTTTTAAATTTTTTTCATCTTTAAAATATACCTAATTTGATGTGTCATTTATAGTCTTCTTTGTAAAGTATCAATGTAATCAGCTTCAATGATACTTGAGGAAACTATCACATTGTAGGTAATCCATTAAGTCATGAGGACCTTGCTCTTACTATTTTGCAGGTATGTTTACAACAAAGAAAATAGACTTCAAATATGCCAATGGTGACATGAACAATAAAGAGGTGATCATATGAGTCTATGTGTTTATATCAATACCATAGTTTACACAGATAATACATGCATGACATGGATTTTGCAAACAAACACATATACATATTATTTTTCTGTGCCCGTGATGCATATGGTAGGTATATGAATGTTATTTACACTGGTGTGTTATGTACAAAATATATGATGTACATATGTATGTTTATAATGAAGTCTAGACATAATTGGTAAATAAGTTGTTTCATATCACATCTGAAACTCAGACACATGGCCACTGAGTCAGAACCAAATCATAGCTGACCTACCATTGGGTTTCTGAGGCTGTAAATCACAGAGGATGAGACTGACCTTCCTTTTTCCCTGGACTTGAAGAGTCAATAATGTGCGGCCTTTGGGTTAGCAGTGCAAAACTGTTTGGAGCAGGCCATTAGAGAAGACTGAGACTTTAGATATGGCCAGGACAGGAGGAGCCTAGATTCTTAGTAAACCCATTCTCAGGGACATTATTATCCCTAGAGCATGGAGGTAGCTTATAGTATGACTTTGTTGTGGGGTGTGGTTTTATTTTGTCCCTGATTTTAATAGCAATGATTATAGTTTTTCGTTATTATTATCATATTTGTTGTGGTCTTTGTTATTGTTTATTTTGGGTTTTTTTAATCTGGTATGAAAAGCAATGCATATGAATTTGTAAGTAAGTCAGTATAAAATAAAAATAAAGCAACAACAACAACAGAAAACCAAACAAAATATTATGACTTTGTAAATCATGACTGACTTTTATCTGACCCTGAATTTGAGGCTGAGGCAGAGACTAGATTACTGGGGAAAGTATCTTTGATCTCACTAAAAGTCTGTCTCAACTAATGGATTGCACATGCTGATGAGTGGGTTAAGACCCCTAGTGAACCCAAGAGACAGAGTGTAACTCTCTTACAGGGCTTCCAAGGCTGTAATCTTTCTCAAAGCAGATTCTCACACTTTGTTACATAGTGGCTGGCATACGGAACTATTAAACCTTTCTGCTGTGCCACCAGGACTGCTTCTCAATTGGTGGGCAGAACAATTTCTCCAACCATTTTCCTCCACAAAGCTAGTTTAAGTGCTACTTGCGTGTACTTTGTATCAAGCATAGATAAGTAGCACTAAGTCTATAGCTATGATTCTTCAGTGCCATTGAGTTGGAACTGACACGGAGCCCAGCCTCCAGAAGGTTTTTCCAGAATGTAAATCACACAGGAGCTCTTCTTCCTCCTGAAGGGCAGCTAATGCATTTGAATTATCAGAGAGGTGATGCCTTTGGGCTACAGGCTATGCCATTCTGTCTCCTTTATTTAATTTTCAGTTGATCCTGGGAGGAAAAATAAAAGTCCTTTATTCGTGAAATCATATGGCTTGTCTACAGGCTCAGGCATCTCCACATTGAGTGGTTTCAGATTTGCTAATGGTATCTTCTTTATACATAGATTTACAATTCCAATGTTTAAACATTTAAAGCTGCCACACTTTAACAAACAGTAAACAATGTGGCTGAGGCACTGCAGTGCAGGACTGAAAGTGCCGGCTCCTAGAAACAGGTGAGGGCTAGAGCACTAAGTAGCAATGACCTTTGAATACAGCACTAGTATAGTCGTGAGGGGGTCTCAAAGGTGAAACTGGAATTTAGGTTGAAAAGCAACATAATGAACTGTATTCAAACAAAAGTCTATCAGATAAAACCTTTTTAACTGCTATTCTCAGAATGTTTCTATGGCCTGGTAGGCAAAGTTGTCCATTTCAGGAAGGTAGTATTACTATGTCATGAAGTTTTAAATAAGATGGTATAATGTACAACCAATAAAACACCACTAAAAAAAGTCACATTAATAATAAAGATGGAATATATCTGACCCAGTGATAAGAAGCTGTGCTACAAGCCAAAGGTTCACAGTTCTAATCCACCAGCTGCTGCTCCATTGAAGAAAAATGGGATATTTCCTACCATGTGATTAACTGTCTCTGAAAACCCACCAGAGGGTCAGCTACAGGTCAGTTCTGACTGAACAGTACACAATAATAAACAACAATCTGACCCTAAGTTTGTTTCTCTGCTTTGAACTAAAAGTGATAGAGTAGTGTTATTTCTTTTGTCCTTTCTAAAACCCACCAAAAAAGTCATACTGAGAGAAGAGAAAAGAAAATCACAAAACACCACAGTGTAACAGGATGAAGAGAGAAAGAAATAAGATACGTAGGACACAGACAGGAGAGCTGGGGTGACAGAGAGAGGCCAGAAGAACAATTAAGTAGGAACAATATGTCTAAATGTCTTTTTCTCTAAGATTACTGTCACCCACACTGTTTACGACCTTGTGAAATGCTAATTGGTTACTTAATCAACATTTATAGTTTCTAAATGTCCTTTTTTACCTAACCAGAAAATATTTAAATGTCCTAAACATAATTAGAATATTTCTTCAGTGGTGGAGAGATTATCTACTCTGAAAAAAAGAATGATCAAATTATCTTGAATAATTCAAATCCCAGGATCACAAATTGCCTATCTTGATTTAAAATATTACAAATATTTCAAATATTTTGCCCTGTGTCATAATTTATTTTTATAAAGTCAGAGGTACAAAATTTAATAAGTTTGTAACTGCTCAGAGTTATATTTTAGTGCAAAGTTTTTCTTGATATTCAGCTACAAAATGTATCAAACATTTTATTATGCTCTAATGCTTTTTGTACTCTGGTAAAACTATACAAGCAGGTAGCATGAACATAAATTTCACTGAAAATGTTAGTTAGCTCAGTAAACTACAACATTTATTGATCATCCAATTAATGGAATTTTAATTTCAATTTCAATTAATGTAATTTTAATGGAATATGTGACTATAAAAAATATGCTTGTTTCAATAAATTGAAACTCTTCTTTATTTTCATCTGCACTAAGTTACTGTTTATTCAGTGTTCTCGATTTTCAGTAGTTTTTTAAATTAGTAAGCAGTAATGAAGTAAAACATACACAAAGTCAAATTTGACAGCTTGGTTGTGTTTTTGTTCATAAACACTTATATGTTTTTTATTCTTCAACACTCATGTAGATTTATGTTCCAGAAGTGTTTCTATTATCTCCAACACGGCATGGCATACTTGGGTGAGGTTTGCAAAAGCCATGCTAGAGTGTTGTCGACCACAAGGTGGCGATGTTACAATTAATACAAAGTCATGCCTGGGCCAGGTCACAGAGACTTAACTCTATTAATGCATTTACCTCTTCTAGTTATTAAAGTTTGTAAAAATCCTAAGTGAATGATAAATCCATAATTCTAGAATACAAACACACACACATACAAATACATTTACACACACACACACAAAGCAGTGAGCCGGGAAATGTTAATGGGTGTGGCCAGGAAGGTTGTGTTTTCATGCTATGTAATACCTACCTGGGCATGGTACTACTGAAGGCATACCAAGTAAAGAAATAATGAAAAGGAGAAATGGTTACTGAAAAAAAAGCAACTTCCCTGTGTCAAATTGTGCAAAATAATAAGACAGGAAAAAGCATGAAAATGGGATGCTTTCTGTATTTTCATTTTGGAAATCATGAAAACACCTAGCAGTCTTGAATGGAAGGAAGCATGAACCTGGAGGTCAGATGGTGTCTTGCTTGTTCCATGACCTATTCTTAAATGTGTGCGCAAACCACTTGCCATTGTTTAATAGAAAACATTCTGCTAAATTGTTTCTTCCTCTAAATACCTTGAAAAAGTCCAAAGGGATCATATCACATGATTTATTCTTAATAAAAGAGTTCATGCTGAGATAAAGGTTTTTACCTTCAAATGTCATAAATTATGAATGCACGCAAAGTCATCAAAATTTTATTTTAGTAAATTTTTAAATCTACCAAGGACCTCAAATTATTGTGTCTGACCAGAGCAATGTGTCCAAGCTCAACAAAAGCAGTACTGACACTGTTGTCAGCTCCTCTACAGTCTCTCTTAGAATGATTTCTCCTTCTCTGTCCTGACCCTTAGAACTCACTGACGGTAAGGAAGTGTCTAATATTTTTTTCTCTTCCTCACACAGCTCACTCATATCACCACCAAATCTATTCTTGTGTGCCTTAGATCTGATTCATACAGGATGGAGTAGAACTGCTCCAGATGTGGTAATGAGGGAAGAAATTCAAGCTGCTCTGAAGGACTTGACAAAAAATAAAGCCTCAGGAATTGATGGAATACCTATCAACATAGTTCAACAACCATGCTGCCCTGGACATGCTCACCAGATTGTGCAAAGAAATCTGGAGAACAACTACCTGGCCAAATGACTGGAAAAAAAAAATCCATATACAGAGTGTGAAAATTATCAAACAATATCATTAAGATCACACCCTAGAAAATTCCTGCTGAAGATTACCCAGAAAGGACTGAAACAGTACATTGACAGAGAAATACAAACTGGGTTTAGAAGAAGTAGTGGTACTAGAAACAATATTGCCAATGCCAGATGGATGTTGATAGAAAGCAAAGAGTACCAGAAGAATATCTATCTGTATTTCATTGACTACGCAAAGGCTTTTAACTGTGTGGATCACAAAAAACTGTGTGGATCACAACAAACTGTGGCTATTCTTGAGGAAAATGAGAATCCCAGAACACTTGATTGTGCTTATGTGAAACCTATACTTGGACCAGGAAGCAGTCCTCAGAACAGAGCAGGGAAACACTACATGGTTCAAAATCAAAAAGGAAGTATGTCTGGGATTTGTCCCATCTCCACACCTTTTCAATCTATATGCAATCTATATTAGGAAGCAGAGCTTTATGAGAAGGATTATCAGGATTATTATCAGGATTGGAAAAAGATTCATCAGCAACCTATGCTTTGCAGATGACACAACTCTGCTTGCTAAAACTGACCAGGACCTGCAGAAGGTCAAAGACTGTGGTATTCAATATGGATTGAAGCTCAACATCAAGAAAACAAAGATTCTCACACCTGGGCTAATTGGAAGCACCATGATAGATGGAAAAGAGATTCAGGTTGTTAACAATTACATCTTCCTCGGCTCCACAATCAACATTCTTAGCACCAGCAGTCAGGAAATAAAAAGACAAATTGTATTTGGAAAATCTGCTGTCAGGGACCTCTCTAGAGTTCTGTGAAGCAACGGTGTCAGTCTAGAGACTAAAGTGTGCCTGATCCAGTCCATGGTCTTCGCAATTTCTTGCTATGCATTAAAGAGCTGACCAATGACTAAAGATGACAGAAGAAAAATTGATACTTCAAATTGTGGGCCTGGAGAAAAGTCTTGAACATACCATGGACTGCTAAGAAAACAAATAGGTCTGTCTTGGAGAGGGTGAAACCAAGCTTCTCCTTGGAGGCTAAGATTTTGAAGCTCTGCCTCAGATATTTTGGGCACATGGCCAGGAGAGACTGGTCCCTGGGGAAGGGTGGAGGGGAAGAGGAGTACAGCAGAGGAAGGCTCTGAATGAGACGGATTGATACAGTAACTGGGGCAATGGGGGTTGATGTGTCAGAATTCGTGTGACTTGCTCAGGACAGGGCAGGCTTCAGAGCTGCTGTACATAGGGTAGCTATGGGTTGCAAGAGACTCAACAGCACATCACATAACAACAACAAATCTTCCCAAAAGTAGACTGTCACTTCATTCTCCCATAGAATAGCTGGTAAGCTTGAACCTCTGACCTTTGTTTCACAACTAACCACTTAAACTATTGTGCCACAAGGGTTTCACATAAACCCAGCTGTTCCTAAGTTTTCCATTTTTCAAAACTTCTTGAGAGCTAACAAAAGGCTTTCTTTAAACCATTATAAATCATGGTTCTCTCAGTCTCCAAGTTGAGCCTTTTTTGCAATCTTTCTCAAAAATTCACCCTCAAAGAGATACATCCATCTAGAATGCAAATGGAATTTCTTCTCTTTCCCTTTACATGCTCAGAACATCTACTTCATTTCTCACACATATCATAAACTCATGGAGCATTTAAGGCTTCAAATGCCTGCCCTCACTCCCTTTCCTCCCAAACTCTTCTTACCTTTTTTCTTAACTTGAAATAATCTCCAGGAAGTTTGAGGTCAGTAATATTTTGTGCACCACTAGCCTATATGCTCATAACTCCTACATTCAGCAATGATACATTAAATATGTTTGTACTTCAGCACCTACCACAGAGTCTGTTACAGAAAGATATTCATTAGATACACACCAAATTATGAAAAAAAGGAGAGTATTGATGTTCAAAGAAGCCTAAGAAAAGTATATTTTTGCTATTTATGCCTTTAAAATGGTTTACAGTAAATAAGGATTTATTTCTGAAATTCTAAATATGTTAAATACTCATAGGAGTTCTTAGGAACGAGCTAAATTTAAAATTATAAACCTAATATCAAGGATTAGCAAATATCCTTTTTATTTCACAGCATGGGCAATCACATGCATGACCTAAATTTGCAGACACACTATTGACCAAGTCGCCTGGGGATGCTCCAATTTGACTTGCCTAAAAAAAAAAAAAGTAAAAAGCAGTTGTATTAGGGAGCTCTTGTGGCCTAGTGGCAAGAAGCTGAGCTGCAGTCCTGAAGGCACGTGGTTCAAATCCACCAGATGCTTTGCTGGAGAAGGAGGGGCAATTTCCTCTTCCAATTTAAAGGCATACAACAAGTTAAAAATAAACAAACCAAAAAACAAAACAGTTGTACTAATTACTAGCCACTAAAACATAATAACTCTCATATTTCAAAATATTACATGTAGCACTCAGGTCTTTCTATAATATCCAGACTCCCCGAGATTCTGCACAGATTTGTTTGGTTTTTTTTTATTTTGGCTTTTGTTACATTTTGTTCTATTTTTCATAAAAACACTTATTCTTATAGGAATGAAGAGCTGTTATTTACACTTGACTAAAACCTAAATATACAGGATTCAAACCAGATTTAAAGAGTTCATTATTAATCATAGTACTACTTATTATTGTTGATTAATGCTAAGTCATTTAATCATTGTAGGCCTCAGTTTCCAGTTCTTTAAAATAGGTACATCTTAAAGATATTATAAAATATTTGAAATATTAACTGTTGAGATTGGCTGTCAAGTGCTCAGTAATTGCATCTACTTGTTTATTGTCGATATTAAAATATGTTGCACACAGTTTTGATTTGACACAAAGTATGGACTTTGAGATAATACCTGTCAGATCGTCCTCCCTCCAAACTGTATCGCAGGTAATTCATACCATCCAGGAACTGGCTGCTGGGTAGAGAGTCATCACCTAGTTCTTTTAGGTCTTCAGGCCTAAGGTACTCTCCTCCATCACCTGTCATTGTGTCGTCACCTTTAAATAATCAGAGGTAGATGGAGAAAACAATTTATTTGCTGAATTCACATAAACTGTAAAATACGATTGCTGTTATGAAATTCCGTGTAGTCAAGAAAACATTCCACAGCAACACAAAACAGAGCACATGTTAATTACTGAAAAGACCTAAAACTTAGAGACTTAATATTTACTTCATTTTCCCATTTCTTTCAAACAAGAAGTAATTTTCCGAGCTGTACTTTCGCTTTTGTTGCTGTTGTTGCTGTGTACTTCTGAGTCAGAACCGACCCACAGCTGACCTTCCAGTGGGTTTGAGGAGGCAGTAAATTGCACAGGAGGAGAGAGTCCAACCACCTCCTGAAGGAGCAGCTGATGATTGGTGTCGTTAGAATTGCAAAGCAGTTTCTTACCAGAAGGCCACCAGAGCTCCTCCTTTTAGTAATACTAATCAAGTTGGTTTACTAATATTTTTTAATTATAGTAAGTAGTTTATTATTTAAATAATTTAACTTAAAATTAATACACTATATAATTATTGGGGTTCTATGTGTAGTTTAGATAATTTTGTACATTATAGGCCCATCTAGCAGTCTTTCTTCATAACTTGCTACTCTTCTAAAACAAATACAAAATATTGTAAACGTAGTCATAGCAATTTGTAAGTTTAACAGAGTTGCACATAACAGGGAAAGAAGGCAAGAATGAAGTGAGCAGATTGTGACATTTCAAGGAACAACCTGGAAGTCAATTTTCAAAACACTAAATTTTGGAAATGAGACAGCTTCCCAAAGATAAAAGTTGGAATAAGAAAGCAAATAAAATAACTAAGTCGTGGCAGGAAAAGAGAGGTAAGTGCTGTAGCTCACTCTTAAAACCAAAATAGAGTTCATTCCCTGCACACAGATTAGAACAGAACACTTTCAAAATAGAGGGTTCGGGTGATTCCGTAAGCACTAATTTGTAGGGATGCTTTATATCCCACTAATGGCCCAGGAGGATAGACTAATATAGTTGAGATAAGCAAACCATATTTGAAGAGCCACTCAGCATATACTTGGAATCTGATAACCCAGTTAAGAAATAAAATACTTAAAGGAAAAGAATTAATCCTTAAATTAAGTTTTGTAATAATGATTTGATCTTGTTTATTTAATATACTATTTTCAAAACTAACTGATTTAACAAAAGGGATCCAGTAAATACTGGAATGTGGCTATGCTCTTATAATGTCATTACTTTGTATTTCTATATTAAGTACTTAAAAGTCAGATTCATCACCATGGAATCAGTTCCCACTCATGTGCTTCAGAATAGAACTGCACTCCACAGGGTTTTCATGACTATAATCTGATGGCAGCAGCTTGCCAACCTTTTACTATGGGGACCAATGAGTGAACACCAACGGCCAACTTTTCGGTTATTAGCTAAGAGCAAATTATTTGCATTACCCAGGGACCCAGACATACATTGGGGGACTACTAGCTCTCCAAATTACTTCCAGCTCTGGATAGTTGGAATACAAGACCTTTCAGGAAATGTAGATGCAATTCACTCCTCATTCGATTTTTATTCCGTTTCTGCTAAGCAAGTCAGGCTATACAGACTCATAATTAAAAGCTGAACCTTTAGGATTAGATAGGCCTCAGTTCAAATTCTAAATCAACCAACTATTGGTCAGTAGATCTGTCTGAGCCAAAGTTTCTACTATTAAGGAACCAAGATCATACAGATAATCTGCGTCACAGGGTGGTTACATGAATTAACCACATCATTTAACAAAGTGCTAGAGCATAATTATTGCTAGTTAATTGTTTATTTAATAATAATAATAGAGTTTAAATGTTATATGCAAAAAAAAATTAATGCATAACTGGCAGGTTTTAAAATATTGTATACTCCTTGCTTCTTTTTAAATTAAGGTGGTGAAAGTTACTTTCTTCCAACTACCTTCTTGTCTCTAGTGTTTCTTTACACAGGAAGAGGTGAAAATAAAAGTGCAATGATAAAAGACCATCTCACCGAGCACAAGCTGCATAATTGTGGCCAACTTTCAGAATTTATATAATCAGAGGAGTAAGAGATCACTTAGGGATGGAACATTTAGAGTAAGCCTCCTTGAAAACAGGAATGCAGCTGATCTTTTGTGTTAGATTTTAACAGGCAAGACAAGACCATTTCAGGTGTCGTGTAAAGGGTCATGTTGTTGTTGTTGTTGTTAGGTGCCGTCGAGTTGCAGGCGACTCATAGCGACTCTATGAAGGAGAGTCCTCAATGCTTGGGTGCCTTTCATCCTCTCTCCAGGTTCATAGGGTTTCCGGAGGAAAGCTATTATGGAATTGGATGCCACTCCTCCTTCCATAAAGGGTCATAGACGGAATGAAAAGATTAATATGTACTAAATGCTTAAAACATGCTAAGTAGGTAACTTGGTAGTTGTAAATTTTCATGCTGGTGAATAATAGCAAAAGTTCAAGAAGAAGGTTGGTGTGTGAACATAGGGACAAAAATCAAATAACTTGGACATATTATTGAGTATGGCATACATTTTTTAAGCATTAATGCTATTATTTTCTCCTTCTTGTAGAACTGATAAACTTTTACATAGTTGTGCTTGTATGTATCAAATAAATTGGACACTTCTTTATATATTTCTGGGAGGGAAAAAAATTCCAATATCAATTCTAAAATAAAAGTCACTGAAAGGGGGGTTTTCCAGACAGGGTAAAAGTTGAAATTATTTTCAGAAACAGTGGAAGAGGTTTGTTAACATTTAAGAAGGCTCAATTTACTCTTATTTTTATGTGAGAAGAGTTGTGGCAAATACTTACATAATGCTCATGATTGTATAAAATTATTAATAATATAAACATTTTATGGTTTTAAGGTTTCAGGTTAATAAAAACACTCAAGCGCACACCTACACAATCTCATCCATATTACACATGCAATTGCCAAAGGAAAAATTAGTAAAACACTCAGGTTTAAATATTAATTAAGTTCCTTCTACTGAGTAAAAAAAAAAATAGCAAAAATCAAGCTTTCACTCCAACAGTTCCTTTACGGGTACCTGAATCACTAAATGCTTCCCCATCAATAAAGTTGTCACCAAACTGTTTTAAAGCTGTTCAACACACAAGGGAAAATTAGGATAGTCCTACAAAACAAAATATAATATGCATATACAAATACTAACAATTAATTGGCAAGTAGTAGGATGAAGGACAAATCATTATAATACTTACAAGTAACATAACTTTGGCACTACATTTAAATTTATTATCAATAGTAATAATATTTTTATTTAACATCATTCTTGTCATATATTTTTTTACCATAATCAAAAATTTATTGAAAAAATTGACACCCAAAGAAATAAGGGCCACGTACTTTAACAAAAAATGAAATGTTATTATAATCTTGGTGGATTCACCAGAATTACTGATTGGGAAGCTTTCTGTGACTGAACAGAAATTCAGGGTGTTGTATAGAGCTTTAGTGCTGCTTCCTTCTGAATGAACAACCTTCTGTGAGCCTGGCTTTCCTCCTGTGGGCTGACACAACACTGTTGAACGAACAACCTACACAAAGATCCACTGTGTGAGCATGGCTGAAAACTGGGGTGATTTGTAGCAACCTGGACATTTCACATCCATAAAATCAGAATTTGGGCTTTGCACTAATCAATTCTTTTTATGCTTTTTCTTCTCATCTTCCAAGAAAGGATGCAGTAAATCTCTTGCCAAAGGCATGGTTACACTTTCTCAAGATCATGCCTATGAGAAATTCTTCTCATATATTCTTATAAAACTGAACCAACTCAAAGCCAATCACCAGAGTGCGAATTCAGAAATTAGTTTCAAATAAGCACATCTCACTGCAATTTTTTTTTCTTAAGCTTGTATATTGAACAAACCTAAATAAATACCATCAGTATTTTAATTAGAGAAATGACATTTTTAAAAATAATCAAAGCTTAGTATCGGGCTTAGTGTCATCCTTTACTATAATAATTTCTTAAACATTTTCCATATAATTATGCGTATATATCTTCATAGGGTTACTATGAGTCATAATGGACTCCATGGCATATAACAATAACAACAGAGAATTTTTCAAACTGTACATTTGAGTAATAATTGCACTATTGAGTGCATACTTTATATGCTACTTTCTCTATGCCTTAGCGGTAAACATTTAGTTCTAATGCCATATTTCAAAATCCCATGAAGTTCCAAAAGGACAAACAAGATGACTTGGAAATGGTGGATTTGGGATGTTCTTGGGAGGCAGACAGTGAAACTTCAACTGACACCTTTGAGCATGTTGTTAAGAGAGGTCAGTCCTTGGAAAAGAACATCATGTTTAGAAAGGTGAGGGTCAGTGAAGGAGAGGAAGATCCCCAGTGAAATGGATTGACACAGTGAGCTCAAGTGTATCAGAGATGATGAGAATGACACAGGTTAGGGTCCAGACTGATTGTTCATAGAACTGTTATAAGTTGAAGGCAACTTGACAGCACTTAACAACAATGACAACAATGTAATAATACATGTTGTCATTATTATTTGGTGTGCTTGAGTCGAGTATGACTCAGAGAAATGGAAAATCTGAAACAAAATCAAGTGAAATCCTCTGGTAGAATTAGAAGTGAAAAGTCATGAACTTCTGGTTGGATCTGCTACAGCTCTAGCATATTCTCCATTGTGTCAGACCACCTCTAGTTCTCCTTCTAGATACGATTTCTCAGAATTTTGTTTGAAATCCTTTGCCTTAAGCCATTTTCATCAATCCTAAAACTTTCAAAACAACCAAATCCAACCCACTGCCCCTTGGGTTTCCTAAGTCATAAATCTTTGAGAGCAGACTACCTTACCAGAACTGCCTACCTTTACTTGTTGTTGTTATGTGCCGTCGACTCATAGCGACTCTATGTACAACAGCCCTAAACCCTGCCCTATCCTGTGCCAATCTCACTGCATCACCTTTACTTTGCAACTAAATACCTCTTTTTTTTAACTTGTCTTTATTTTTTAAAAATTTTTCTACTATTTTATATACAAATTCAAATATATTATTTTCAAGAACAAATTCTTTCAATTTCCTCACCCCCTCATGATTTATTACCCCTCCCCCTGCACATCCACATTCCCCTGCTTCCACCCTCTTCCACCCCTCTTGGATCCTTATACTCATTCTACAATAATGGTTTCATACAATATTTATCCTTGTAGGACTGAGTTAGTTCACTCAGCATAATGCTTTCCAGTCCCTCCCAAGTTAGGTAATAATTTACAAAATCATTGCTCCTGCATGCTGCATAGTATTCCATTGTGTGAATATACCATAATTTCTCATTCTTTTCATTTGTGGTTGGACATTTGGGGCTGTTTCCATGTTCTTGCAATGGTGAATAATGCTGTTATGAACATTGGTATACTAATCTCAATTTGTGCCTCAGTTCTCATTTCCTCAGGGTATATGCCAAATAGTGAAACAGTTGGGTTAATATGGAATTTCTATGTTCAGCTTTTTGAGGAAGCATGAAACAGCCTTCCAGAATGGTTGTACCATTTCACAATCCCACCAACAATGTGTAAGAGTTTCTTTCTCACCACTTCTTCTCCAACATTTATTACTTGTTGCCCTGTTAAACTTTACCACTGTTACTGGAGTGAGATGGTACCTCAGTGTGGTTTTGGTTTGCATCTCTCTTATTGCCAGTGATTTGGAGCATTTCTTCATGTGTCTGTTTATCATTCAGATATCTTCCTCTGTGAAAATTCTTTTCATGTCTTTTTGCCCATTTTGTAATTGGGTTATCAGTCCTTTTTTTGGTGGAGGCCCAGGGGTATTCTGTAAACATTTGTTATAAGACTCTTGTTTGAGATGGTATTGCTAAATGTTTGTTCCCAGTCTGGAGGTTTTCTTTTTCACCCTGCTAGAAATTAACCATGAGGCCTAGTGGTAAGAAGTTGCACTGCCATCCCCAAAGACTGTGGTTCAAATCCATCAGCTGGTTAGAGGGAGAAAGACTGGCAATCTCCTCCCATGTGATTTACTGCCTCTGAAGATCCACTGGTGGGTCAGCTATGAGTCATTTCCAACTTCATAGCACAGAACAATAAATCTTATGTTGAATGAGCTCCGGTGGCTGAGCGTGTAGGAGTTGTGTTGCTAACCCAGAGACATGTGGTTTGAAATCACCAGCTGCTACATGGGAGAAAAATAGGCAATCTCCTCCAATGGTATTTTCAGCCTCCAGAAACCCACTGAGGGTCAGCTATGAGTCACTTCTGAAATCTTGGCACATAACAATTCTTAGATTGAATCAGTACTACTATCTGCTGTGCTGTTTTGACCTACTCTAAGGTTCTTTTCACCATCCTTTCATCCGAGATGTAAAAGAAGTTCTGCACATTTTAACTAGTTCAAAAGCAGGGATGTTTCAGTATGTCTTTGATAAGAATTTAGGAAAGCCAAGAAAGATGTTGTAATATCCCTCTTTTTTACAAAAAAGAAAGAAAATGCATATTTATCTGGAAAAGTAAAATTCTAACGGTTAAGATACTGTTCCCACAACTACTGCACCTGCTTGGCCCCTGCAGAAAAGAAAAAAAAAGGTTTTTTCTTTGTTTAAGAATACAACTAATATCATAAGAAATTTAAGCAAAATTCATACCTTCTTCATCAGACACATCAAGGACCTCAGTCATCGTCTCAGGAACATTTAGCTTATGTTTTTCAGTGATTGTCTGTAAATACAAAATCATCAGTGCTCAAGTTAAAACCAAACCAAACCAAATACCACAGAACTGTGGTGAAAACCATGCCCAACAGCAATCACAGCCCATTGGGAATCTCTCCCATGTGTGTATTTTAAAAGCCAATTCCGTCAATCTCTTTTCTGAAAACACGTTTTGTTCATTCTGAAGATAATCGTTTTACAGAAAAAGTGTACAAAAGAAAGTTCATTGTTTTAAGTTCCTATCTGAAATATAAGTTAGTTAGCAATAGTATTAATAATAAGTCATGTTGAAAAGTCAGATTAATGTTCTCAGACTCCCTTAAATTAAAAACTGTCTCCAGAATGCTTTAAAATGAAGTAATGATCATACGCAGTTCATTAAAAGTCAAGCCATCATGAAAAAACATAAATAAGTTGTAAACAATGTGATACAAGGCTCAAATGTGATACTCAATGTGATACTTTGGCTCAAAATGTGAAATATCGTCTGGAATTAGGACATCAAGAGTTGAAAATGAATCTTTTTAATATGTTATATTGGGCTATAAGTCTTACTTATTACTATGAATATTATGGATCTACTGCCTACCCTTCATTCTTGAAGCACAGATTAAAGTTGAGACCAGGCTCTGAAGTCTGCCTAGGTTTAAATTTTAACTTCAGCCCTTCCTAGCTCTGAGGTCTTGGCAAGTCCTTTAATCACTATATCACAATTCTTCATCTCAAAAACAAGGCACAGAGATTTGTACACTGATGTTTCTAGCAGCATTATTCATAATAGCAAGAAAATGAAAAATGGTGATAGTACAAATGCCCATCAACAAACAAATGTACGGAGAAATTATGGTACATTCACATAATAGAATATTATACAACACTCAGAAACCATCATTTTGAAAATATAACACGAGAGAGTATGGAAAGCACTATGTTGTGTGAAGTCATTCAGTCTTATAAGGACAAGTATTGCATAAGACCATTATTGCAAAGACTGTATAACCAGTAAGATGTGTAGAAATGTTCAAAGGAGAAAGAGAATAAAGGAGGGGCAACTGAGGCTGGGGAGGAAGGATAATCTCAACATTACAGAGTTTGATGGAAAGAGAGAGGAGGTAAAGGAGTTGGGAGAGATCCAGTAGGGACCTGAAAAGATGGGGTAAGGGTGGGCATGGTTAATGGTGATTAATTTTATGGAACACAATATATGAGAATGATCTTGTGAAAACACAGTGTGCATGGGGGAGTGCATGAAACACAATGTATACAAATGAAATACAATATATATGAATTTTGTCTGCAACCAATATTAAATAAAATAATTTTTTTAAAAAACAAGGATGGTTCTTCATAGGATTTCTGACAATTAAATAAAATATTATATATGCTATTTCATATGAAATATGAAGAGCTTGGCATATGACACACTCAGCAGGTATGTACCAAAAATTATAATTCTATTCTAATTGAATATCAGATTAACCTTAACAATGAAGGGCCTCTTAACTTTTTCAGTCACAATGCACTTAAGAAATATTTTGGGTGTTGACTATATGCCAGACACTGTCCCAAACAGCAGGATATTAGTGATTGAAAAAGAATAAAGAAAGGCTAAATCCACATCTCACCCTAAGAGTGTTTACTCTAAACTTCCTATTTCCCACTTAAGTGTTGAAAACATATGCACCCACTATGACATCATTATGAAACTATGTATGAATTGGAAATTCCACAACTCTAAGTGTAAAATTTTCCATTAAGGCTACCAAAATACAATGCATAGGTTGTTCAGGCTTTTAAATTTTGTTAAGATAGACGTGACATGTAGACTTGCTCAAATTCCTCAGTATCTCCTATTGGTACTTTTTTTTTGTCTAAAAACAACAACTTCGAATGTATTTTTGAGGAAATGCAATAGACTATTTTAAATGGATACGTATGCGCGTGTGCTTACACACACACACACACACACACACACACACACACACACACACAGTTATGTGTATCTGACTCATAGCTGACCCTCCAGCAGCAAGCTTTCTTAGACTATAAATCCATGGGAGATAATTACTAATCTTTCTCTCATAAGACAAAACAGCTGGTAGATTTGACCTGTCTGCCTTTGAGTTGGAAGCTTCTTTACCTACTAGGTCACCACAGCTCCTATATATACATGTGTTTAAGTCCCTGTGTGGGTGTGAGGACATATATGAAAAGAGGAACTGATTAAGTCACAATGTTACACTATACAAACCTTTCAAAGACTTTCCATTTTTTTCCCAGGATAAGACTCAGAAGGCTCTTTGTGATTTAGTAAGGAGAGGTCAGGAGGCCTTATCTCTCACTTTAATCTACACTGTGTGGAACTAGTTTCATTTCATCATCAGGTTTTACACACACACACACACACACACACACACACACACACACGTTCTCTCTTGGCCCTAAGATTTTCCACTTATTCTTTCTTTCACCAGAAATCTTATTCATATTTTCTTGGCTCCCATTGGAAAAAACCCCTTGGTGAACAGTAGCTTGACATTCTTACATGCGTTTGTTTCATTGTGTTTATCTTTAGCTCTGTACCCCAGAAGCATCATTTGCTAGTCCCTAGAGCATCACAGATAAACAAATTCATCTGTCTTACCTGTCTCATACAAGAGTGAATCAGAGTAAGAATTTTCCACAGCAGCAAAAATACGTTGTTGTTGTTGTTGCTGTTGTTGTTATATGCCGTTGAATCGCTTGCGACTCATAAAGACCCTATATACAACAGCCCTAAACCCTGCTCTATTCTGTGCCAACCTTATTGTTTCTGACACACTTACCACCATTATCCCCCCTCACTGAATCAATCAATCAATCTTATTGAGAGTCTTCCTCTCTTGTGCTGTCCCTCCATCCTTCCAAGCACGATATCCCTCTCCAAGGACTGATCCCTCCTTGCAACACGTCCAAACTATGTAAGACACAGCTTCAGAATCCTTGCCTCCAAGGAGAAGCCTGGTATCACCCTCTCTAGCATGAAACCTGTTTGTTCTCCTAGCAGTCCATGGTATATTCAGTACTCCTCCACAGCACCACAGCCCAAAGACATTAATTCTCCTTCTATCATTCCTAGTCCACCCATAACAAGTAATTGCAAATACTATGGCCTGGATCAGGCACACTTTAGTCTCTAGACTGCCCTTCAGTCCTCTGGAGAGATCCCTGACAGCAGACTTTTCGAATGTGATTTGTCTTTTACTTTCCTGGCTGCTGGTACCAAAAGTGTTAATTTTGGAGTGAAGCAAACTGAAGCTGTTAAGAATATCAATCTCTTCATGTCTATCATGATGCTGCATGCTTCTAAAATACGTATTCACATTCCTGAGATCTTTTATCTGTTGTAGCTTTGTCTTTTTCTATTCATTACATCAGGTATATTGCCCTATAAATTGTGGTAGTGATGGCAGGAATAAAAAATTAAGGAATTTTAAACTTTAAAAAAATATGTCTTTAACAGACTTATGATATAGTTACTTAAAAAACTAAAACAAAGATAATGATTAAATAGATTTTTCTTTGTGTATATATAATCTGATGAAAAAATAGAATGAAAATAAAAAAGGAAAGGCTCTATTTGATCCTTATACAGCATGTTGCTTGTGATACTTACATAACTGTATAGACTTTTATTCGCTGAAAATAAACATGACGTAGGAATGGCAAAAACATGCATCTGACAAATAGAAGGTAGGCAATAAGTGTGTTGAGTGAATGAGTTCTATAGACTATTATAATATGTTGTTTGATCATTACACTGTTGTTATGTATCTTTGCTTTGACTATGACTCATAGCGACCCTGTGCCCAGTATCTCTAAAACCTGCTCTATCCTGAGCCTATCTCACTGACTCTGACACACCTACCCTCATCCCTCCAGTTACTGCATTAATCCTTCTAATCTGGGGTCACCCTGTACTGCACTTTCTGGCCTGTTGAATCGACTTGGCCCCATTTAGGGGGTAGGGCTGTGTGAGGAGACCAAAGGTCTGGAATACAGGAAGAAGTATGATCTCTTCAGCTTGTAGCTGATGCCCATTTAAACCTAGCAACTGATGGCTGGGGATGAGTTAACCAGATGAAGAGAAGATTATCCATGCTGTGAACTAGGGTTGATTGCTGCAACCTGATGATTCACTGAACCCACTGTTGCAGTCATTGTGTCACTCTATCTGGTTGAGGATCTTCCTCTTTTTCACCTGCTCTGCATATTTTTCCAAGCATGATGTCCCTTTCCAAGGAATAGCCTTTCCTAACAACATGCCAATAGTACTTGAGACAAACCTTTGCCATCTTTGCCTTCAAGGAACATTCTCCCTGAAATTTCTCGAGGATATACTGTTGCTGTGTCAGCAGATATTAAGTACTTTTATCTAAAAATTCTCCTTCTGGCATTCGTATGCAATGGCCAGCTTTCAAATGCATGGTAAATGGCTGAATAGACCATGGCTGAATAAGGGGCACCTTAGTCTCCCAATGGACATCACTGCTTCTCAGTATTCGGAGAGGTCCCTGACTGCAATGCAATACTACTCCTGATCTCCTGTCTGCTGGTACCAAGTGTGTTGATTGTGAATCCAAGTAAGATGAATTCATTGACAACTTACAGTCACTATGCCAATCCTTCTTGCTAGGAGCCTTCTTTTTCTCTTCCTTCCATCTTTCACAGCATGATGTCCTATTTTAAGGACTTGTCCCTTCTGACACCATGTCCAAAATGAGATGAAGTTTAGCCATCTTTGCCTGTAACTTGCTGTACCTTAATTGAAAATGTATTTGTTATTTTCCATGGGATACTGAGATTCTTCTCCAAAACCACAACTCAAAGGCATTCTGTTACCTTTATTCATTGTCTAAATTTTTGAATCATAAGAATGAATTTAAAAGACCATGGCTTGAATCCAGTGTATCTTAGTCTTTAAACTGAAATCATTGCTCTTTGGCACTTTGGAGAGGTCCTTGACAC